ATATATTAAGAGAAATCATCCAATCTGCAGGAAAGAAATATGAACAGATCTTTGACAGTGGATTTTGATTGTTTACGAGGCTGGATTAAAGGATACTCAGCCTAGGAAGCTTTCTTTACTCTAAGTGGGTCCATAAGCACCGAGTCATCCCTCTTCTGCTCAGAGAAGAACTTGGGTGGCTTTCTTTTGATTAGAAGGGTGAATTCCTACCCTCTCTGCTGGAGCTGCAAGATCCAGAGCTAGACATATCATAAACTGTTGAAAGGCAAAGAGAGTCTTGAAAGCACAGGAGAGGGGCCGGTGCTGTGGCGCAGCGCATTAAAGCCCTGGCCTGAAGCACCGGCATCCCATATGGGCACTGGTTCTAGTCCCAGCTGCTCCTCTTCCCATCCAGCTCTCTAGTATGGCCTGGGAAAGCAGTAGAAGATGGCCCAAGTCCTTGGGCCCCTGCACCCGCATGGGATACCTGGAGGAAGCTCCTGGCTCCTGGCTTTGGATCAGTGCAACTCCAGCCGTTGTGGCCAATTGGGGAGTGAACCAGCAGATGGAAGACCTCTCTCTCTGTCTCTACCTCTTTTGAAACTCTCTTTCAAATAAATAAAATAAATCTTTAAATAAATGACTTATAATATACAGTGGCACAACAGTAAGATGAATAGTTGATAACTTAGGAGAAACCATAAAGATCGAAGGTGGTAGAATGTTTTATATTCAAAGCTTAATGAAAAAATTGTCAACTAACTGTTTTGTATTTGATAAAACTATCCTTAATGAATAAAGGAAAATGAAATAGTCCTTATATAAACAAAGAATTGTAGGATTTATTTTTTGCTAACTTGCTTTAAAAGAAATTGTAAAGCAAGTCCTTCGGGCAGAAAGGTAGCAGTACCAAATGATAAATTCCAAGGAGCAATGAAAAGTGCTAGAAATAACACTTATTTGGGTAAATATAAATACAAAGATTTCTTTGTTAATTAAAGTGTATAAATATATGTTATATATAAATAAGCATATTTCATAGTACCATATTTTTATCTTTATAGATCTGGATATGTTAACAGGCATCACAAAAGCACAAAAGAGGAAGAAGGAAAGGAAATCAGTCTAAGACAATTGAATTTGTAGGAACTCATGCTCTTGCTATACACAAAAAGTAACAAAATGGATTCTAGGCTTAAATATAAGAGCTAAAACAGTAAAACATCTGTAAGAAAATATAAGAAAGATCTTTACCCTAAGGATAGGCCAAGAGTTCTGAGATGTGACACTAGGAGCATGAGCCCTCAAAGAAATAAAATGATAAATTGAACTTAATTAAATTGAACATTGTCTTTTCAGGCGATGTTATCATGAAAATGAAAATATAAGTCACAGACTGAGAAAATATTTACAGATAATATATCTGAGAGACTGCTTGTAACCAGATTATGTATATAATTGTTCCTCAGTGTCTGCAGGGGATTGGCTCCAGGAAGCCCCTGGGATAGCACATTCTGCAGATGCTCAAGTCCTTGATAGAAATCTCGTGGTATTGGCATGGAACCTCTGGACATCATCCTGTATACTTTAAGTCATCTCTAGATTACTTAAACCTACTGCAGTATAAATGCTGTGCAAATAGTTGTTCTGCTGTATTGTTTAGGCAATAATGACAAGCAAATAATCTGTACATGTTTAGTATCGCACTAAAGTATTTTTGATCCATGGTTGGTTGAATATGCAGATGTGGAACTTTTGGATATGAATGGCTCTCTGTATAAAGAATTCTTACCACTCAGTAAGAGAAGTGTTCCATTTAAAACATTGGAAAACTGTTGGAGTAGACATTTGTATAAGGACTAATTGGATATATAAATGTTTAGAGGTGCATTACAAGAAATTGACTTTTGCAGTTATGGAGGCTCAGCAGTTCCTGAAGCTGTGTTTAGGAGGTGGAGATCCAGGAGAACCAATGTATAGTTTCAGTCTGAGTGAACAGCCTGTGTGCCAGGAGAGCCATTGATGGAGGTACTGTTCCACAGGCAACAGGCTTGTGACTCAAGAAGAACCAGTTTTTCTTTGGGAGTGTGAAGGCTGGGAAAGTCCAGTATTCTATCTTCAGCAGTCAGGAGGGAGGAACTGACTCTTGCCCGGCCTCTTTGTTCTATTCAGGCCTTCATTTGATTAGATGAGCCCAACTATGTTAGAGAGGGCCATCTGCTTTGCTCAGTCTACCAAGTCAAATGTTAATCTCATCCAGAAATACCTCTATAGACCCAGAATAATGTTTGGTCAAAATGTCTGGGCACCCTGTAGACCAGTCAAGTTAACACATTAGAATTTACCATTCCAAGATTTACTGAACAAGAAGTACATTTGGCTAATAATCAGATGGAAAGGCACTCAACATCATTAGTCAATATTGAAATGTATATTCAAACCACAATAATACACCATTACCATTAGAATGGCTTGTTACAAAAAAATTTATAGTATGAGGTATTTGCAAGGATATAGAGAAACTGCTCGTTTGGAGGTATTAAAAGCTACCACCCATAACACTAGGAAAACAACTGCTTCTTAAAACATTAAATATAAGTTCACAACATGACCCAAAAATTCCACTCCTGGATCTGTCCAAGTCAAATGAAAACATGTCTGTACAAAGACTGATATGTAAATGCTCATTGAAGCATATTACAGTAGCGATTAATTGGAAGCATCCCAGTGTCAGCTGGTCAAGGGCTTAACAAAGTGTGCTATACTTGTGTGTGATATGCAAATAGAAATGGACTGTATAAGCTTGAAGGAATTTGGGGGTTTTGAAAATGTTCCCAACCTGGGTTATTGTAATGATTAAAAAACTGTAAAAGAAAGTCGTTGAATTGTGTACTCACTGTGAATGAATTTTCTAGGATATAGAATAGTAATGTCATAAAAATAATATATATAATATATATGGCTTCCATAGCCTTGGCAGCTCATGACAAGAGCCTCGGGTGATTACTGACGTCATAAAAAAGAGTGTCAATAGTTAAATCAACAACGGGAGTCACTGTGCACCTGCTCCCCATGTAGGATCTCTGCACCTAATGTGTTGTACTATGAGAATCATTGGTAAAACTGCTACTCAAACAGTACTCTCTATACTTTGTGTGTCTGGTGGGTGCAGTTTGTTGAAATCTTTACTTAGTATATACTAAGTTGATCTTCTATATATAAAGATAATTGAAAATAAATCTTGATGAAGAATGGGATGGGAGAGGGAGTGGGAGATGGGATGGTTGTGGGTGGGAGGGTGGTTATGGGGGAAAAGCTGTACTTTGGAAATTTATATTTATTAAATAAAAGTTGAAAAGAAAATAATATATATAGAGAGAGCAAGTTGCAAATAAGATAAATTAATGAGAATCTGAAAGGGTATAGGAATTTTTATACTGTTCCATCTTTTCTAGAAGTCTGATATTTCAGAATTTCAAAAATTAAAAATTTTAATAGCTCTTAGAAGTGGGCTGATTTCCCTTTGTTACATTGTATAAAAATAAATCTTAAAAATTTATCTGTTTTAAACACTCAAACCCTTACGTACAATTTTATCTTATCCTTTTGATTCTTTACTTCCTTGGTTAGTTTGTTGTTTGCTTTGGATAGATACTCTGTTTTTGCTTTTTAAAGAAATTAATTTAGGGGGCTGGTGCTATGGCATTGCTGGTAAAGCCGCTGCCTGCAGTGCCGGCATCCCATGTGGATGCCGATTCAAGTCCCAGCTGCTCCTCTTCTGATCCAGCTCTCTGCTATGGCCTGGGAAAGCAGTGGAAGATGGCCCAAATCTTTGGGCCCCTACACCATGTGGAAGACCTGAAAAAAGCTCTTGGCTCTTGGCTTTGGATCGGCACAGCTCTGGTTGTTACAGCCAATTGGAGAGTGAACCAGCAGTTGCAAGACCTCTCTCTCTCTGCCTCTCCTTCTCTCTCGGTATAACTCTGACTTTCAAATAAATAACTAACTAAATATTTTTTTTAAAGAAATTAATTCTGCAGTGCAATGGCAGGTAGACCAGGGCCCAGGTGAACTTCCTGCTGCCTAGGCATACGTGGTCTCTCTGGGGAGCAGGCACACTTGTAGAATGATATTTTGAGGATTTTTCTGTTTCATTTTCTTATCTGTGTAGTACAGATGTACAAATCTTCTAAGCAAAGCACTTTTGAACATTTATTTATTTGAAAAGCAGAGAGATAGAGAGCTTCCATCCTCTGGTTCACTCCCCAAATGGCTCCACTGGCCAGGGCTGGGCAGGCCGAAGCCTGGAGCCTGGAACTTCATTCAGATTTCCCACATGGGTGGCAGAGGCCCAAGTAGTTGGGCCGCCTTCTCCTGCTTTGCTTCTTGGGTGCATTAGCAGGGAGCTGGATCCGAAGCCAGGCAGCCAGGACTGGGGTGCCAGTGTTGCAGGTGGCTTCTTAATCCACTGAGTCACAACGCTGGCCCCACAAGGGACTTTCAGCTGTAGGCCTTGAACACAGCTATGTTTCTTTTGGCAGTATTTTTTTTTTTATTTTTATTTATTTGAAAGGCATAATCAGAGAGAATGAGAAAAAAAGAGAGATCTTCCATCTACTGGTTCAGTCCCCAGATGGCCACAAGAGCCACAGCTGGGCCAGGCTAAAGCCAGGAGCCCAAAATTCCACTGTACTCTCCTGTATGGGTGACAACGGCCCACTTGGGCCATCTTCTGCTGCTTTCCCAGATGCATTAGCAGGGAGCTGGATCCGAAGTGGAACAGCTGGCCCTCACATTGGATGCTGGTGCTGGAGGTTGTGGTTTTAACCTGCTGAGCCACAGTGCAGGTCCCTTGACAGTATTTCTGAGGTTCAAATAACAACATGTTCTCCAGATTATCTGTGCCCCCCCCCCACGCATAAAATTCAAAGTTAAATACAAGCACACATTTGTTGACGGCAGTGAACTAAAGTGAGGTTGTGTAAGTCATGCTAGTGTATATCTCTGTGTTTGATTTCAAGGTCACTCTGTGCGACTGCTGGGTCAGAAAAAGGAAAATGGAAGGCGGCTGGGGGGAGCACGACTGGATTTGCCGAAGATTAGGAAGAATCCACTGATAGAAATCATTTCCATCAATACTGGGTAGGCTTCTCTCACTCTCATTCATGAAATATTCAACATACTCCATGAATCCAATTTTCTTCCCAGACATGTGACGTAAAAAATTAGGTGAACATTTCCTTGGGAAAGAAAAAAAAAAATCACAAGAATTTCTGAAGCTGTAGACACAGTTCTGAAACGTTCCCTGTCAGTTATACCTACATCTGCAGCAGAGTTTTATGTCTTTCATTAATATTCTTCGTCTCATTTTTGGTAATAAACATGGATTTCATTTTCCAGCTATGCGTGCCCTTGGTTAAATCTATTTAAAAGATAGTATTTTATTCCGTGGAATGTTTAACACACTCATCATGTTTGACTGTTTTTTTTAAATCGGGCTACAGTAACACTTTCCCAGATTACTAACCATGTTTTGATTACTATTTGAAATGCGTATTTTAAAATGATAGTCTTATGAGCTTTAAGCTGAAAAGAAGCATCCTGAGTAAATGGTCGTTTTGATTTCCATACTCTGGTCTAAAGTCTTTCCTGATTGTACTTTTAGTGTGTTCATTCATATGTTGTTTTGTTGGCATTTATTAAACTTGGGTCCTTTAAATAAAGTTAGACTCTATCTGATAAAAGTGCTTTTTCTGTAAATTTGGTGAGACCAGGACTTGTGTTCTGTAGAGCACAGGGTATCCTACTCTCTGGTGGACCCGCTGCTCATCGCCTGCCAATTGAAGCTTCCTGTTCCTTTTTGACTTCCTCTTCCTTCCCTCCGTTTTGAAATGGTTTTCCTGTCTTCCCACTTAGAACAAGAAAAGGAGCTTAGCAATCTGCCTGTCTCCCTCTGAGCCATACCTTCCTTTCTTCCCTACACCATTGTAGCTGCGTTGTTGCTGGTCATCCTTCTGGTGTATTAGACGCTGTTCACCCCTCACACTGATACCAAGGACTGAGGAAGGGGGGCGTGGCATTGTGGTGCAGCAGGTTAAGCTGCCACTGCAATGCTAGTATCCCATGTAGAGTGCTGGTTTGCTCTGCTTCTGATTCAGTTCCCTGCTAATGTGCTTGGAAGGCAGCAGATGACGGTCCAAGTACTTGGGCCCCTGCCACCCACATGTGAGACCAGGATGGAGTTCCAGGCTTCTGGCTTTATCCTGGACCAGATTTGGCTGTCATGGCCATTTGGGGAGTGAGCCAGCAGGTGGAAGACCTCTCTCTCTTGTTCCCCTTCTCCTTCTCTGTCTTTCACTCTGTCTAACAAATAAATAAATAAATACTATTTTTTAAAAAAAATCATTAAAAATTGTAAAGAGAGACTGCGAAAGGTTCATTGTGTCTCTGAATGTCCACGGAGTAGCATTTGGTTGACCTGTGAATTTGTTGCCTAGCCTACTCCTCAATCTCAGAAACTGGTGATTAAACCAGAATTTGACTGTGAGAAGTGCAGCTGTTGCTTGACTGTGGTGGGACTTTTGTCTTTGAAGTCTGTCTAGCCAGAGCTGTGTTTTTGACACCGGCTGTCAGCCATTGCCTCTTACTCATTTCCTTCCCATATTGCAGTATTATTTATCCCTTCCTGGTGATCCACTTTGGGCTGCCGTGTTCCTGGGTTCTGCCTTTCCCCATTTACCTCTGTAGCATTCATCAGAGTTGACCTTGTATACATTGTGTTCCCTTCTCCTCACTGGCATGCCTGCTCCATGATGGTGGTGATTTTGGATTGCTAGGGATGTAATAAATATTTCTTTCTTATATGAATGAGGTAGTGTAGTCTGAACATTTAACAGGCTTATGCTAAACTCTCTTCACAGTGCAGGTTGCTGGTCCCTTGGGCAATAGGACTTGCTGATGGCTGACTTCACCCACTTTGTCCTGAACAGTGCCTGTGGCGGGCAAAGTCAGAGGTTTCTGAGAACCGCATGGGTTTTTGGTATGTGCAGGACTGATCAACCCCTTGGCCAGGCACACTCCTTTCAGCATTTCAGAGCCTGTCAAACCCTGTTAGGTGAAGATTGTTCTGCCTCTTGCAGGTAACTTTGTGACTTGGATCTCTGGGGTGTCTGCTTCAAGTGCACCTATTCATTTCCCTCTCCCCACTCTGCACTCCAGCGTTCAGTCATTCTGAGCTACTTGAAACCCTCCAAGTCCAGGCTCTTCACCGTGTTGATTCCAGGGCCCTCTGCTGGCTGAAGAGCTTTGGTGGCTTGTCTGCCCTTCCCTGTTCTGGGAGGGAGCCATCTCTACTCAGTTGTATGCCTTTTCTCCACTACTGGGCTGACTCCATCCTTTGTCTTTGTGCATCTACCACAGCTCCCATGTACCCCAATCGTGTCTCTTCTCCCACTGTGTCATTTACATATGGCACTTTAGAAAGTCTATGGAGGCTGGCGCCGTGGCTCACTAGGCTAATCCTCCGCCTTGCGGCGCCGGCACACCCAGTTCTAGCCCGGTCGGGGCGCCGGATTCTGTCCTGGTTGCCCCTCTTCCAGGCCAGCTCTCTGCTGTGGCCCGGGAGTGCAGTGGAGGATGGCCCAAGTGCTTGGGCCCTGCACCCCATGGGAGACCAGGAGAAGCACCTGGCTCCTGGCTTCGGATCGGTGCGGTGCACCAGCCGCAGCACGCCAGCCGTGGCGGCCATTGGAGGGTGAACCAACGGCAAAAGGAAGACCTTTCTCTCTGTCTCTCTCACTATCCACTCTGCCTGTCAAAAAAAAAAAAAAAAAAGTCTATGGAAAGGGGAATGGAAAGATAAGCTCATTTTTGTGCCAAAAACCTTGTAACTCAATTTTATATATCTTTCAATATTTTTTGGCACCAAAATAAACATGCCTTTTAATTCCTTCTTTTAAAAAAAAAAAGATTTATTTATTTGAAAGACAGTATTATAGAGAGATCTTCCATCTGCTGGTTCACTCCCCAAATGGCTGCAACAGCTGGAGCTGGGCTAAGCTCAACCTAGGAACATAGAACTCCAACTTGGTGTCCCATGTGGGTACAGGGGCCCAAGCACTTGGGCCATCATCCTCCGTTTTCCTAGGTGCATTAGCAGGGAGGTGGATTGGAAGTGGAGCAGCTAGGACTTGAACTGGCACCAGTATGGGATGCTGGTGTTGCTGGCGATGGCTTAACCTTCTGTACCACAACACTGGCCCCTTCTGCAAACTTTTTGTGTCATTCTTCTGTATCTTCCAATAAATTGTAAGGTATATTTAAAATTTTAAAACATTTGCTTGAGGTAACCATTTTAAATAGCAGTGTTGAAGTTTTTCGTTTATATTATTTGAATTTCCCTTTTCATGGTTTTAGAGTGTCCTCAAATCAGACCATGCCATATTTGCTGTCAGGCTCTCATCCTCTTGTAGCCTTCATAAGTAAGTTAGCAAATAGCTTTTGGAGATAATCCCGTCTGTGTTTCTGAACTGAGATAGGAGTTTCAACCCTTCTCTGACTACTCTGCATTTTCGGAGTCAGCTGCTGCCTTATCACCTGCTCTCAGGTGGAGATATCCCCAAGTGTTTGTCCACAGTGTCATTCTAGAGCGTCATGGCTCTGATTTCATTTTTGTATCTACTAGAGGAGCTTATTGCCTTCTCATTTACTTTTAAATGTTTCAAAATTGTTACACCCACAATTCTTTTGTCAGTAGAAGATTATCCCTCTCTGATCTGGCTCTTTGCTAATGTGCCTGGGAGAGCAGCAGATGGCCCAAAGTCTTTGGACCCCTGCACCATGTGGGAGATCCAGAAGCTTCCACCCACCATGGCCATTTGGGGAGTGAACCAGGGCATTGAAGATATCCTTTTCTCTCACGCGCACTCTCTCTCTCTCTCTTTCAAATTATTTAATAAAACTTTTTTTAAAAAATTATCCTTCTTATCAAAATCTCAATGCTTTTCAAAGTTTTATTACTTCCCAGTTGATTATAGAGGTAGAAGTTCCATGTAAATTTTCCATTTTTCCTTAAGGAAAAGGATTCCATTTCCAGCAAGTTTTATTACACATATTGGTAAATTATGCAAGTTACCATTAGACTCTGCACAATTCTTATGCTACGTTATATTTTTAATTTAAAGTGTAAAAGAAGTATATATTACTTGCTTTGGGTAAAGAAGGTGAAAATTTCAGATAATGCTAATTTTTTTATCAGCTGGGAAGACTACTTGTATGATCACACTGTATATAATGGCTCTATTAGTTGTTTCTTATTACTATATTTTTTATAATTATTATTATATTATTACTATTATTACTATAGATCGTAGAGGGACAGGTATTTGGCACAGTGACTAAGATGTTTTTTGGTTGGGCAAGTCTCATATTAATCAGAGTGCCTAAGTTCAAGTCCTGGCCCTGCTTCTATTACAGTTTCCTACTGATATTCACCCTAGGAGGCATCAGCTCAAATAGTTGGGTCCCAGCTACCATGTGGGAGATGGGGATTGAGTTACAGGCTCCCAGCATTGGCCTGGTCCAGTCCTGGCTGTTGTAGGCATCTGGAGGGAACCAACAAATGGAAGATCTCTTTCCATTTGTCTGTCTCTGCCTATCACATAAAATTTTAAAAACCTTTAAAGTGATATAGAAAACAATTTTTATATGGGTGTCTTTTATTTCTTTAATAACACTTATCTTCTCTCTTTTTTTCTTTCTCTCAAAGATTATTTATTTGAAGGGCAGGGTTAGAGAGGGAGAAAAAGAGGGAGTTCTTCATCCATTGGTTCACTCCCCAAATGGCTGCAATGGCCAGATCTGCACCAACCCAAAGCCAGGAGCTTCTTCTGGGTCTCCCATGTGGGTGCAGGGACCCAAGCACTTGGGCCATCTTCCACTGCTTTTCTAGGTGTCTTAGCAGGGAGCTGGACCAAAAGTGGAGCAGCTCGGCCTCAAACTGGCGCCCATATGGGATGCCAGCACCACAGGTGGCAGCTTTGCTTGCTTTGCCACAGCACCAGCCCCTTATCTTTTCTCTTTATACCCTCTCTTAACCTTATAGTAAATGATTTACCTCCCTTTCTGCTTATTACATTGAATAT